GCAATGTTGTCCATAGCTTATCATGATCCACACAATTGAAAGTCTTTGTGTAGTCAATAAAGCACAGGTAAACAGAAGGCAGTAGTAGGGATGATAACATACAAGGGGGTAGGGGGCTTCAAAAAATGGGACAATTCCATGATCTTTCCATTCTGTTTTCCACAAACTTTTTTTAAGCGATCCATTCAACGGAAACAGAGCAGCTGGAAAGCCCAAGTCCTGAGGAGGGCAGCCACCCACAGTGGTCCTGACCCACTGCTGATAGTGAGTGATAACTTCTTGTTAGGTGCTGTTAAGCTGGTTACAACTCATAGTAACCATATGTACAAGAGAATAAAACATAGCCCAGTCCTCTAGACCCAGAGAGAGAGAGGGGCTGTGTGCTGATGACCAGGGGGCAGGCTTGTGGGGTATACCATTTGGTTGGTTGATGATGCATGGAGGGGATTATAACCATGGCAATGTAACGATATACGATAGCATGAATGTAAAGCTAATGTTCTGCCATGTAAACGATCACATAATTCACAATAAAATATTTAAGAAAAAAACAAACAAACATTGCCCAATCCTGTGCTATCCTCACAACTGTTGCTGCTAGAGACCATTGTTACAGCCACTGTGTCAACCCCTCACATTGAGGGTCTTCTGCTCTTTGTTGATCTTCTATTGTAACAAGTCTGATGTCCTTATCCAGGAACTGGTCCCTCCTGATACTATGTCCAACTATGTGAGATGAAGTCTTGCCATCCGCGTTATTCAGGAACATTTTAGCTGTACTTCTTCCAACACAGACATGTTCATTCTTCTGGCCATTTGTGGTATATTTAATATTCTTCACCAACACCATAATTCAAAGACATCAATTATTCCTTATTCATTGTTCAGCTCCCACACACATATGAGGTGAGGGAAAATACCATGGCTTGAATTACAATGAAGCCGTCAAGGGGCAAAGAATACCAGAATGGATAAGAAAGGAGAACCCATTCACATGCTGTCTACAAGAAACACACCTTAGGCAAAAATACGCTAAAACTCAAAGGATAGGGGGAAAAAAAAAAATCAAGCTAATGGCAATCAAAAAAGAGTAGTAGTGGCCACATTAATTTCTGATAAAATAGATTTTAAGGCAAAAACCATCATAAGAGACAAGAAAGAACTTAAAAAAGAGAAAGAGAGTAAAAAGAAAGAAGGGCCAGCAGTGGAACACATACTTTGGACCCCGAGATCCCTGTGTATTCCTCTTGATTGTATCCCACGTCATTCTTAGGCTTTCTTCTCTTTTGTTGTTGTGCTGACCCTCCTTGATTGAGGGGACAGGGAGCCATGACACCAGAGAAGCAGCAAAACTAAGAGCACAAGACAGAGCGGGCGATTTCCCAACTGACCGAGTGAAAAAAAACTGAGTGGCTTTGGGCAGAAGACTTGTGTGTAGAGGGGAGTGCCTCCCTGGTATGTGTTTGAGGAGCTAGGTATACTGGCCCCTGAAGCAAGAGCTGAGAGTCTTCAGGCCAAGGCTTACCGGCTAAATGGAGTGTCTTTTGGGCCCGTGTCATCAGAGATGAAACAGCTTTGTAACATGACTAAAAGACTGAGGACCAGAGAGAAGCAAGCCTGCGGACATGCTGAGAAGAGGTTGTCCTGACCAACGAACTGGACTCTGTGTCTTTCTGATCAAGAAGTTTAACCTGTTAAGTTCCCTAATAAATCCCATTAGTATGGTCTGTGAGCTCTTGTGTGGCCGTTGCAAGGAATCCTGGAATGGCAGAGAAATTGAGGGTATCTTGGGAGGGAAGGTCAGTGCTAGACTTGTTAAAGAAGGTTCAAGAGTGGAAGCATGTCTGACCTCTGCCTCACAGGAGTCAGCCTTGGACTGATGCTGAGTTTAACTATCCTTCCCCTTTGTAAATTCAAAGGAGGTCAGACACTGCCCCCAAGACATTTTTATATTAATAATTTGTTATGATCCACAAAGTCAAATGCCTTTGCATAGTCCATAAAACACAGACAACCATCTTTCTGGTATTCTTTGCTTTCAACCAAAATCCATCTAATATCAGCATTGATATCCTTTTCTGAATCTGACTTCAATTATTGGCAGTTCTCTGCTGATGTACTGCTGCAACGGGTTTTGAGTTATCTTCAGCAAAATTTTACTTGCATGTGATATTAATGATGTTGTTCAAAAATTTCCACATTTATTTGGAAAGGGCTCAAATGTGGATCTCTTGCAGATGATTGGCCAGGTAGCTTGTCTTCCAAATTTCTTGGCACCGATGAGTGAATACCTCCAGCACGGCATTTGTTTGCTGCAGTAACAGAACTACTTATAAGTGAGTGACTGTAACAAACAGACATTTGTTTGTTACATTTCCTGAGAAAACTGTAAACAACCTGATTTTATATTTTTCACCTGGCCCTGGGCTGAATCCTTCCCTGTGGTTGGGTATGAACCTTGAAGGGATTGGTCAATAGACTATGCAAACAAGTGTATCTATGGCCTACTGAAAGGGAATTAGTTGGTTTGTGCTCCCTTCCCATTGGGAATGGCCATGCCTTGAAACTGACAAGGAGTTGTGTATATATTGCAGCTAATTCCAGAGACATTTTTTTGAGACAGCAAGAAACAGGAAATGAAGCA